TTATGTGGTGCTGAGGAATCGAACCCAGGGCCTCAGGCATGCAAGGCAAGCGCTCTACCACTGAGCCACCTTCCCAGCCCCCCTTCATGTCTTTAGCTAACTCATATGTTCTTTGTCCACAATGGCATTGTACTAAAAGTAACAGATGTTTAGAAAATTCTACAATTATCCAAAATTTAGTTTCAAGAACATTAAGATGCACGAAGATCCAAAAGACACAAAACTCAAAAGCAAAAACTGTCTATTTCATCATTTACCAATCTTAAAAGCCCTGAGTAACAAGGAAAGGAGTCAAGAAAAATGGGGAGAGAAACCTTGAGGAACACTGTAAAAAAACAGCTTAATACCCCCACTTCTACTCTAAATGTAAGACACATTATACAGATCTGAAGCTTGGGCTACGACAACCAAAGTAAATTTTAAAAACTCAGTATCAGAGCTGGGCACATATGGCTCATGCCTGTAATCCTACTCAGAAGGTAGAGAACTGAGGATCAAAGTTCAAAACCAAACATGGGCAAGCAGCAGGAAAGCAGTAGGCAAGTAGTAAAGTCTGTGACATCCTTATTTCCAATTATCCACCAAAAAAGAATTAGAGCTGTGGCCCAAGCAGTTAGAGCACTAGCCTTAAGCAAAGAAGTTCAGGGACTATGCATAGGCCCTAAATTCAAGCTCCAAACAAAAAGAAACAACAAAAGAACATCTTAATCCCAAATCTTGCTCCCATGTTTTAAGACTGTAATTCCAACTATTTTAGGTGGTTGAGATCTGAGGATCACAGTTTGAAGCCAGCCAAGGCAGGAAAGTCTGTGAGACTATTATCTCCAATTAACTACAGGGGTGAAAAAAAAAAAAAAAGCCTGAAGTGGAGCTGTGGCTCAAGTGGTAAAGTGCTAGCTTTGAGAGAGACAGAGACAGAGAGAAGCTAAGGGACAGGTCCCAGGCCTAGTGATATCTCCAATACTCATAACAAAAACTAAACTTCAATTTCAGTATAACTCCTGATTAGACTGATTTAATCCCACTACTACATACCAGACAGAAGTAGTATGCATTCTTTAAACCAATTTCACTTCAGTTTCTACTATTTTACAACCAAAACTTATGAACATACAAAAAGCAAATAAATAAGAAACCAAAAAAGATGTCTAAGAGATGAAGAAGAAAAAAAAAGCCAGATTCAGAGATGACCTAGATGCTGGAGCTAGAAGCCAATTCAGGCCAATATTCTCTGTACCATTACACAATCACACTGGAAATAAAGCATCTAAAATCAACAAGTAAAAACTCTGATATAAGAACTTAGATCAAGGGGCTGGGAAGGTGGCACAGTGGTAGAGCGCTTGCCTTGCATGCATGAAGCCCTGGGTTCGATTCCTCAGCACTATATAAGCAAAAAGAAAAAAAAGCCAGAAGTGGCGCTGTGGCTTGAGCTGAAATGCTGAGGGACAGTGCCCAGGCCCAGAGTTCAGGCCCCACGACTGGACCCAAAAAACAACAACAACAACAACAACAACAACAACTTAGATTAAATTTAAAAGATGAATCATTTAATTCATTTTATAAAGCCAGAATAACCTTGATACCCAAAGTTGATAGCGATTTGAGAAATAAAAAATACAAATTGATATATCCTTTATGAAAAGACATAAAAACCTTCACAAAACACAACAAATTAAATCTGACAATAACTATAAAGTACAGTAATGCTTAAGTGAAATTCATTCCAAAAGTATAAAATTGACTTTGTATTCCAAAGTAATGAATTTTATATTTCAGAGGAAAAAAAAGTTGAAAAAAATCATTTGTTCAACGTGATAGATATAAAGTGCCTGACAAAACTCAAAACCATTCATTCATAATACACAGCAAACTAGAACAGATAGAAACCTTTTCAAACAGATAAACGCCCTCTTACAACTAAACCCTACCCAAAACACCAATTTTACTGATAAAATATGACAGCTTTCTCCCTAAAATCAGAAAGTATATGCATAGAGGCCCACTTATATACATTCACATTCTACTAGGATTCTTAATAAAATACTGCAAAGACTGGGGGGGGAGGGAAATCGTGTGTGAGGCCCTGAATATAATCACCAGCAATGAATAGGCACATGCATGCATACACACACTTGTATTTATATATATTTCATTTGTGCATGTGCATAAATACTTGTATGCATTGACTGTGTACAATATGTACAGTGATCTGCGTGTGTGTGTAAGTGTGAGTTTTCAGGTCCTGGGGCTTAAACTCAGAGCCTGAGCTTTTTACTCAAGGCTAGCATTCTACCACTTGAGCCACAGCTGCACTTCTGGCTTTTTTGGTAGTTAATTGGAGACATGTTTAATTTGTATGCTACCATGTAGCTCATTTGGAAGAAATAGACCAGAGTGAAGCTTCTACAACTGGCTTTCAAAAAGACAAAAAATACATACATTATACATGGACATCTCTTCATCCTAGAGCAAGGGGTCAGCAATCACTTGTAGGTCAAATATTACTTACTGATATTTATAAACAAAGTTTTACTGAAAAGCCCATTTATTCACCTGCTGTCCACAGCAGAAATTATAGCTGAAGACTTGTAGTAGAAACAAGAAATCTCACAAAATATATTACTATTTGGCCCTTTAAAGAAAAACCTGTGGCCGAGCACCAGTGGCTCATGACTGTAATCCTAGCTACTCAGGAGGCTGAGATCTGAGGATCACAGTTCAAAGCCAGCCTGGGCAGGAAAAGCCGTGAGTCTTATCTCCAATAAACCACTTAGAAAACAAAAAGTGGCGCTGTGGCTCAAGTGGTAGAGCACTGGCCTTTAGCTGAAGAGCTGAGGGGCAGCACCCAGGTCCAGAGTTCAAGCCCCATGACCGACAAAAAAGAAAAAAGAAAAACTTGTGGATCCTTGCTATAGTCTTTAGTATTGTATTTAACAAC